CCCACTTTTCGTTCGGTCAAAACTCAAAATACTGCCAAACTGCAGAAGTTGTGTTCTTATTCGAGACCAGGTCACTTGGTGCGCTACTCGCCAACTTTCCCCACCTCTATCTGTCTCCTTCCCTGTGATGACAACCACTCCTACACATTTTTAGGCATTAAATACATTATATTGAATCCTTGTCTCCTATATAAGTGCATTGTTTTATATAATGCTATAAAGGTATTAAAACCGATATCGTTGCTATTTTTAGATTCCGCGCTATACCATATTACTGTATCATCGCCCAAGCCTACAGTGTGAGATGGAGTAGAACATGGAAAATTAGAGACAACCATGCTTTCAGCAACCAATGGCAGTTTAAATGTGTTTTACAGCCAGTGTGAAACTTAACTTAGGTCATATGGTTCAAGGTTTCAAAAACAAACTTCAGATGAATGTTTAACTTTTTGCTTTTCTTAGTTAAGAATTACACCAGTTTATTCTTTGATTTTCATTATGGTATATCAGGGCCTTTAAGGTGTTGTTAATCTAATGTTTCGCATGTTAGCATTCTCATTATGTGAGATAAAGAAACCTTTTTTTTTAAAATAAACAAATTCACCTCTTCAGGCAGCTAGTACAAAAAGAAAATGACTAAAATATGGTTAATATTAACACACTCTTGAAGAATGCATTGATACAGGACACACTATAAATAAGATTTTGGATAGATGGATAGATCATATTAAACAAATACGCCCAGATTTTTGTTATATTGTATTTTTTTTTTTTTTAAAGGGATTATATAATAGAGCATATGTAAGATCTGACAAAGTTATTTATAAAAATTAAGGGCATACTGTGCATGCTGTAAACTTAACGTTATTAATTTATCTTTCTGAGAGATTTTGTATGTCCTGGTTTTTATACCTATCTTTCCTTCTGAAAAAATAAAACAATAATAAAAAAACATTTTGAAAACCAATAATTCCATAAAATACTCTTTTGCGCACGCACACACACACACACTGAAGGTCTGCTGAAATGTTTCTGACGGCTATATTGACCTCTAATAGGCAACACTGCAACTATGACAAAAAAAAACAAGTTTGCTTGAGAATTCTGTTCTATTTATGGGCACATCTTGTGACATCATGTCTTACTTCTGCTTCATTTAGATGTCTTTGGTCTGTGTTGAGATCATATTTCAGGTAAACCACAACACAGCTAAAAACTGTGGAATAAAACACACATTTTCGTTTAGGCAAGCCAGTCAGCTGTGCTAGCAGTTCTGTTTAAACTATATATTCACATATTCATGCAAGACATATGCTCACATAAACACACAGTTATTCACATCTGTAACCAGCACTAAATGTTCAGGAAATACTTAACATGACTCACTGGGACTTCACATTTTCCAAACCTTAAGCAGGGCCACACAAACGAAACTCTTCCCGTTAGCCCACAGAGCTGCAAATGTATATCCAAGTGAACATAACAGAGATAATATTTGGCATTCCAGAAGAAAATGTGTGTTTATGATGTGTAAGCTGAGGTTTAGGGGATGGAGAAAGGGGCACAGAAAAGGAAAACATACAGTCCAAACCCTCTGTAATTGTGGCTCTTTAAAGACTTTTTCCTGTTTCCATTAGTTAACAAACATGTTGAAAATTCTAAGCTTTACTTTTGGATGAGTGTTTTCCATCATGCAGGCAAAGTGATCACGCTGATGAAAAAAAACACTCGCCAAATACCTTAATGAGAAATGATTTAGAGAGAGAAAAGGGGAAAAAGAACAGTGTTCTTGCAAAAAGTCAGGGACATTTCTTTTCACCCTGAGAAAACAGACACCTGTACTCAAACATATCACAGTTCCCATATATCACAAGACAAAACACACTGCTTGCTCTGAAGATTATTGGCCAAGTGTAAACACTTTTACACTTATACAGGATTAAACACTAATGATTATTTTTAAAGGCCCGGTTGGGCCAACTGATTTTTTTTTAAACATACTTTAATGTGTCAAAAATGAAAACTCTAGTTGTATACACTTTTTTTCATCATAATGTATTCTTTTTGCCAAAAAAAGACAAGTTTAACATTGTTAAAATTTCATTGTCACATTTCTTGAGGAGACAATTACATAAATGAACAAAAATATATTTGTTGGGCTTTTGGTCCAAATTGATTGACTATATCTTATATTCAACGCAATATATTTCTGTAATAAATCCTTACGTTTCATTCCTATTTATAAATATTATGTCTACTCCCCCTTAATTCTGTATTTTTAACAATATCTGTAAGCTATATAGAGTTTACATGGGAAACCTATTCATACAAACTTTGGATGAAAAACAATGACCTAGAACAGGTTGATTGGTAAACAATAACATTACAGCAGTAAATACAATATATACATATATTCATTATTATTTAAATAATGTTATATTCATTACTTATTATACCATTAAGATTATCTAAGTATTTACCCCCTAGTTAACCTCTGTGCCTAAACAGGCCCAAGGCCTTCCTGAATAAACAAACAGCTTTTAACAGTCAGCACCAGAAACAGACCACTTGTGCGTCTGTTAGAGTCTTTGACTCTAACCCCTGACCTTAAAAATACCCATGTCAACCAACCAGTAATGATTTGTATTTAAAATATATATACTGTATTTTTATTTTTATTTTTTGCTCATTGATCACTGGAGAGAATTGTATTGTAATTGTATTGTTGAAAAAAGTAGATTAGTATGTGTGATTAGGAGTCTGAAAAACTTGTAACAAAGTGGATCTTTTTTTTTTGTTATGTGATTAAGTCAATTTATATCATTTCAGTGTGTGGCACTGAAAAATCTGCATTGCAGTTGCTGATAAACTATTTTAAAAACAGTCATCACTGGGCTCTAAGAGAAGCATCTGTGTTTATTGCAGTCTGTCTGTTCACGAACTGAAAACATTACAACTAGTGATATTCCAAAATTAATTACTGAGCAATTCCATCGTTATGAATGTGACATTTGCAATAAAATTTCAAAACATATACTCCTGAAAGTAAACGTTAACATTATATTGAAGCAACTGCTTATATTTTCTAAAACAACTAACCACAGAGTTATGGGAGCAGAAAAATATCAATCTGTAAACATTTCTTATTTTTTAAATGAGGAAAATAAACATGCGTTATGCATGTGACAAAAAATGTTTGCTAGATTACGGTATACAGCATACTTTATATAAATTCTGTGAATTAAACTGCACAACCCAAATGAAACAATGCCAATCAAAAGCATAAGAGTTGGCTCACTATAGAACAAAAATAAATGATTTTATTTCACTTGACATTTTTGCATTAATGAGGGAAAAGCTTGTTTACGGTGGTGACACTTCCGTTATGGATGTGACAGATGGGAAATTGCCACTTGTGTGACTTTAGTAAAACAAATATAATAGTTTGAAAACACTGACAGAGACAATTTTGAGCATTTTAAAGTACTGCAAAATACTTGCCTACACAAAAAATGTGGAAACGGTTTCACTATTTTGGTGAAAACTTAATTTTTTTCCATGGCAAGGTTGACATTTGCATGAAATTGCTCTATTATTATTTAGCTTTTGACTACAGTCTGCCTCTAGATAATTCTCCAGACAATTCAAGCATATTTTGCTATTCTAGCATGATTTTTGGTCATCCTAAAGTGCGGCCTATTATCTACGAAGCAAAGGCTTAGCTTTTTTTTAACCAAGCGATTGTTTTAAGCCAAAACAGAAGCTGACACAGACCAAACACAGCACTGGAGAAGTGCACAATCAACACTGTTTTTCGTCAATCATTTGGGGACTCCAAAACCATTCTAGCCAAAATCTTTTCCAGAATGCATAAAACGGCAACATATCAGATGTCTATTTTTAAAGCCTTTTTTTTTTTTTTTTTTTTTTTTTTACAAAAAATAATTTTACATGTAGCATTTAGCTGCAGAATGCAAGTTAAACAAAAACAAATGCAATATCAGGTCATATACAGAAATCAGACAGTAAAATCCAATACCCTTTAAGACATAAAAAAAAAAAAAAACATTTATTTCCAAACATTTTAAGACCTCATCACCACAATAGGTCTGAACCGGTAACATTGGCAACATTTTAAATATATTCACTAAATACTGATTGTACAAACTAATCCTAAACTAAAATATTATTGATAAACTCATGGTACTGCCTTGGTTACTGCACTAAACAAAGCAGTGTCACATCAAATATAGTTAGATTTTATCGATTTCATAAACATTCAGCTTCATGAACATTCATACTTTAGCATACAACTATAATTATACAACTGTAGTATCAAAAATGATGAAGATGTAATACCTTGTAACAGCATTTAAGAGTTTTTTAAGGGCCTTAAATTTCTCTAAATTTATTTATCAACTTTTAATACTTTTTAAGACCCAGAATATACTGCTATTTAGTGCCTTCTACAATCCTCTTTGAATGTTGAGACTGGAAAACTGGAGTATGGATAGCCATGAATGTTAGCTTCCTACATTTTTGCCGCTGCTCCATCAGACATATTAATAATCCAGAGCAACAGCAACATGGTGCGATGTTGTATCTGCAAACTCTGTTGTGGTTGTTATTGTTTTTGAGGTAGACTTACCAACAAAATGTCACTGTAATAAAAATCAATGCATACATTCGTAAAAAGAAAGAGCTTCACAAGACTTACAAATTAGATTTGAACAATTGCAAAGCACAGTAAGGACAGTCAATCATTTGCATCAGATGCCAAAGGGATATACAAATAATTTGATTTGGATTGACAGTTTGAGCTTTAGATCATCCTAAAGAAATGATTCACACTGGGCATTGTTGAAGTCAAGCCACTTTGTGCGACCACATAAAGTGATTGGATTTCAGGCTGAGTTAAGAGACTGAGGAACGAGAGACGGAAAAACAGACTAAAGGGGGAAAATGAATAATAAAGGGAAAGAGAAAAAGTGATTTCTTACTGATGTAGAAAGTGGTGGGTGATTCTGTTCCCTCATACTTCAGGTCCAGAAGACTGCTCGTTTTAGTGTCATGACGGAGCCAGAGAGAAACCCCCAAGATTACACAACCAGCCAGCTAAAAACAACACAAAGAGGAAGAGAAAATGCTTGAGTTTACACCAGTTTCGGCACCCTGTTATTAAACACACAAACGAAACCATCAAGACTTTTTTGCAAACTTCATTGACGACATTTTTAAAAGCGTTTACATGCATAGTGACACCTTTCTTTTTCAACTAGACTTTTAAATTGGAGCATGGATGCATTTCGTCCTTTGGGTCGTTCTCTTGTAGTCTGCTTATTTTCCATTCAACAAAGAAAAGAGAGACACATTCTGTGCGGCGGGGGAGGGAAGGATCTTGTTACAGACCCCATCTAGAGGCCCACAGTGCCGAGGGTTAAGAATATCAAAACATCACTGTACGACACAGCAGCACGGTTCAGCCCGCTTTCTCCTCACATGGTTCACAGTGATGCGCATTCAGTTGAGAGAGGCCCATAAACACATGGCATATTCACGAGAGAGGGTGCTCACAGACTCATGCGGCCAGGGGGAGGGAGAGATAGAAAATGGGGGAAAAGGAAAGAGGGCGTAGGCAGTCGAGAAGACCATTTAAAGTGGCGCTACAATGTGTGGTATTGTATGCGCGAGGGATAAGAAGCGGGAAAGTTGAGGGTGGGGGAGGGAGAGTCTGCGTGACAGGCACCAGAGGTTTATTTGGCTTTGTTTATATTGCTTTATTTACAGCAAAAATCGCTGTCAAATCAGACAAGATCTGGGCCCTACGAGAGCAGCTGGATCTCGTCAGGAATGCGTAGGCTCTGTGGAGGAATGCGGCTTGCAGATAAAAAGACCGTCAAGAACCTGGTGGGTGCCGCGGCAACACCACATGCACGAGGGGGGAGAGTAACGGGAATGTGAGACAGACCATTAGGGGGAATGCTGGGATGGGCAGAATGCACAGCTCTGGCAGTGAAAACAATAGATTTGTACTTCCTTCCCTTTCTGTCTCTTTGTTCTGCTGCCTCTTTCCAATCAAGGATTCCTCGCTCACACCGGTTGTACATCTGCAAACAGCTGCATCGCCACAGTTCTTCACCACAGGTCAAACCAAAACGCATCTGTTGGTGCAATTTGTACACACCACACCCCCGAAACAAAAAAAGCACTGGACACTTTCTCTTCTCTCTAAATGCTTTTCCCACCATTACTCTTTCACACCTGTTGATGTAAAATGAAACCATAGCCTCTCATCGGCAAAGACAACAGCTTTGGAGAATTTGCTAAATGAAGCTAAGATGACTATCTGAAACTTAATAAGCTGAAATTAAAGCAATAAAAAAATAATAAAACTGACAAAAAGCACAAGGTTGCTAAATGTAAACTAATATTTAAGTGAAACTCTAAAAGCACAACAAAACTCGTATTCAGAACATTAATAAATATAATATTGGCTAATTGGTAACATTTTATTTTGTGTAGTACACTACGCTATCTGTATACTAACATGCTGGATAATGTACAGAGAGCTTGATCCACAAACAATATTTGAATAAGAAACTTTTTGCTTGCCTCCCAATTAAACACAAGGGACAAAACACTTTTCCAGAGAGGGTAAAAGTATGAGAGAAAGAGTTCCTTCCATTTCTCTTTCTGTCTATCCCACTCTTTCCAAAGGCCAGATAGGCCCATTCCAGAGCTCCAACAGCCTGCTGCTTAGCAACTGAGTAAACAGTGGGGCAGCTAAAGGGAGAGGTTCATGGAGAAGCTCTGTCACTTTAAGCAACTCTGGCTTCCATGGAATCCACATTACATTCACTTATAATGAGTTGGGGAATATCTGAGTAAACAGAGATTCCCCTAAACACAGGATTTTCCCGTTGACCAGAGGTGCCAGGGGGAGTTCTAACCTGAATAAGCCATAATTCTAGTGGGGCAATCTCCCTTCTCAGTTTCCATACTTAATATATGCCATTTATTTTGTGTAGAGCTAAACACAAGGATTAACTTAATCTATTTGTCATAAAGGATATTTGGCCATTTTATAAGCTATTACAGGCAAAAATATTGCGATCCATGCTATAATGTGTTTAAATGAAAGCAGAGTATGCTCATAAAAATGTTTACTGGTTGAATTACAACTTTTATTATAAATTTTAAAACATCAAATGGACAGAAAAGCATGACCTCATGACTACTCATTACACTTTACAGGTTAAATACACAATCACAAAAACAAAACAACAAACTATTAAGCAGAGAGCAAATAAAGAACCAGCGGTGAGTGGACATGAAATGGAAACTGCAATGATCTTTTGTTTCCTATTGTGACATTTATGCAAATGGAAATAGCTTTTTGAAAAAAAAATGCTGTGTAGACCTTGAGTTGAAGTTTGACAGCTAGTGAAATTCATGCAAGTACTGAAGGGGAATGAATCAAATTCATCTTGCTATTGGACAACCTTACTGGCCAGGCCTTACACTGGTGGAAACATTATCAGAGAAGCGCCATCAGACAAATGTCATGACACAGGAAACAAAAGATCATATCTGCTTGAGTTGGCATGAAGTGAAAACTGCAAAGTGTGACTGACAGCCAGCAGATTACTAGCGCAAAAAAAGAAAAGAAAAAACATGTTCAGTGTGCAAATACACCTTAATATATTTAGAAGACAAGATCTATTTATGTAAAGTGACTTTGCTACTTTGAGTTCTCCACTAAGGAAAGCATCATCAAACATGTACAATAGCCTATTGGTGACCGTCTAGATGTACTATAAGTTGTTTTGCTGGTTTAAAATAGTTTTGACATAAAATATTATTCAAATAATGTATCATCAGTGGCTTTCTATTCGTGCAAGGTGGGAGGGAGATAAAAAATACCAAATAACAAAAAAATTGTATCCACATTAATGTCTTACTTCCGTTCTCATGCTTTAAATATTTGCAGCCTGGTTAACACTGTTTTTTTTATTGTTTTTCTTTATTTTATCTATGTATGCCTTTTTTTCAGAGCAAAGCATCAATATTTGGGGAATTGCTTTCCTGATGAGGAAGGAAGTCTGACTGTGACTGAAAGTATAATGGAAGACAGTCAAACGTTTCAAGAATTCATGCATGAACATGGTTATTTAAAAAATTTTTCCCCATTTTTTTTCTTTGCCCTCCTTTGAATTTTTTTTTCTTTTTCAAATATTTCCCAAATGATTTTTAACAGAGCAAGGACATTTTCACAGAATGTCTGACAATATTTTTTCTTCAGGAGAAAGGCTTATTTGTTGTATTTCGGCTTGAATAAAAGCAGGTTTAATTTTTTTAAAAATCATTTTAAGGACAGAATTATTACTATTAATTATCCCCTTTAAGCTATATTTTTTAATGGTCTACAGAACCAACCATCGCTATACAATAACTTACCTAATTACCCTATCCTGCCTAGTTAACCTAATTAACCTAGTTAAGCCTTTAAATGTCACTTTAAGCTGTATAGAAGTGTCTTGAAAAATATCTAGTCAAATATTTTTTACTGTCATCATGGCAAAGATAAAATAAATCAGTTATTAGAGATGAGTTATTCAAACTATTATGTTTAGAAATGTGTTGAAAAAAATCTCTCTGTTAAACAGAAATTGAGGAACAAATAAACGGGGGCTAATAATTCAGGAGGGCTAATAATACAGACTTCAACTGTATATATCTTATATATGTTTTTATATATAAATATTGAAATAAGTAAATATATATTAGACATGCTCCGATCAGGATATTTGCAGCTAACACAGGCAGTCATTGTGATCAGCCGATACCGAGTACCGATTTTGATGCTTCAAGCTTTTTATAACGTTTATAACAATGTGATTTGGAAACATTGCTCATATGTTGTAGCACTGGGGATGTATAACCTAAGTTGTAAACAAACACGTGCGATCGGTTCATGAGATCGGCCAGATTAGAGAGTACCTATCGAGTTGTGAACCGTGATTATCGGCCGATCAATCGGAGCATCCCTAATATATTAGGTTTAAGTTTTTTCCATTGTTCAGATAGATGGTAGCTTCATAACATCAACAACCAATTTTTAGCAAATTTAAACAAACTTTTAACAAAATTAAGACGATGCAAAAACTGATCAAATGTATGCCATCAACTTGCATAAAATGACTATAGGTAAAAGACTAAACAAAACTCTTATTTAACATATTAATAGATATAATATTGGCTAATTGGTGACATTTTACTTTATACACTTGTATACTTGCATGCTGGATAATGTATGAAGAGCTTGATCCACAAACAATATTTGAATAAGAAACTTTGATGCTTTTGGGTACTTTTATCTATTGAGTAGATAAAAGCACTCCAGTGCATGCATGTCAATAAAAACACAATTCGAGACAAGAGCACCTAACATAAAATACATTTTGTTTAAAAATCAGCACAAATATGGTGGAAATTTGAAGTGCCTATCTTAAGGCTAATTTATACTTCTGCTACCTATGCCGTCGCCGACATGCACCTCTCAAAAAATGTAACTACACGTCACAACGATGCGTAGCACAAGCTCTGTGATTGGTTGGCTTGGTAGCGCTGACAAGTCTCGGGGGAACCGAGAGCCGCGTGTGCGGTGCGAGCCCGATGGAGCGATTGTTTCCAAGTGTGGAGTCCCGTGAAGGAGCTCCAAATGGAAAATGTAATTGTTTTGTGTTTACCTCATAGTTAAAGTTGTTGCATGTCCGCCGGTTCCTGCCTCAAAATGAGCGAGTTTGAGCCACTTGTACATTCAGGAAGAGTTCAGAAAAAACACAACACCAGCGAAGAAACTCGACACAGAGGAACATTAACACCTCACTGCCAACTAGCATTTCGGAAGTGTTAATGCAGACCAACAGAGACAGCGCGCAGAGATATAATAAATGCACAGCTACACGTGTAGCATGCGTCGTGGGTTACACTGGTCACTTGACGCAGAAGTATAAACCAGGCTTTACAGTGCAACTTTGCTTAAAGGATTACAAAACACCAAAACCCATTTTTTTGAGCTTTTCTCATCTGGAAATGGTGAAATCTGGATTTGTCGCTTGTCTCCTCCTAATAAAAACTTGCATCTAGTTAGTGTTGATTGTCCTGTCTCTACAGATTTGGTAAGTGAGCGACTAGTGGGCTTTGTTTGTTTATTCAAAGGCAAAGTTAGTTTGTATCGTCACAAGTACTCTGTGTTTAAAGACGGACCTTAGTAAAGTGATTTCTAAGTTAATAAAGTTTACAGTACGTTAATATCACTTCAATATTATGGACTGAAAAATCTGCTGTAAATGCTGCTCTCCGAGTGTAAACATGTAAGCACCACAATCAAACTTACCGTCGTGGAAGATTTTCGCCGCATTTTGTGACACGCGGCTTTCTGACGCTACCTACCGAGTGCATCTAAGTTACAGAAAAATGCGGAGGGTTTTTTTCTCTCATTCGCCGTGCGGTAACAAACACTGCATGAAAGATACACGCTTCCAGCAATTCCTCGAATCAAATATCTCTTTTGTCACGAGGTGCATGAATGAAATTCCTGAATGAAAGAGCCAAACTGCAGTTAAAGTCCACTATTTAATAATTTGGCAAATAATTCGAACACTGATGTCCATGTAAACACAGTCACTGTCTTTCTCCTCTGCGTCTGTGTTTGTTTTGCCTGTGTGAAAATCAGCATGTGCCCAAACCGACACTCCCATTTTTATGCAAATTGTTTACGGACCATGTCTTTTTCCCACCACCAACACTCCCCCCCAAAACAAAGCTGGACACGTCCACTTTCCTGAGGTTTTCCAAAGTAGAGTTGTGAAAACACTGCTGAAACAAGGGGGTTTCATGGCCCTTTAAAGAAATATATACAAAGCTATGTAATTAAGCTTTACAAGACACTAGAATTTCTCTGATCAGCTTATATCTATGTTTTGTTTGTCATACTTATTTATAAAAGAATACTCAACACATGAAGTCAGTGATGATTCATTTTCACCTATGTAAATGGGTTGCCAAGGGAACACAAGCAGAGACCGATGCCCTGGATTGAGCATTACAAGCTGTTTGGATCATATTGCTTAATATTTCCTGAAATATAGCATCTACAGTACCTTACCCCACACACACCTGTTCTTATATCCCAATGGGGACTCTCATAGATGCAATGGTGGTTCAACTATAACCAAATATTCTATCCCCCTACCTTAACCCTACCCCTAAACCAATCCCTCACAAGACACAATCTGAAATTTTACATTTTCAAAATACTTCATTCTGTGTGATTTATAAGCATGTTTACCTCAATTTTGGTCTCCATGGTGACACAAGTCCCCATGAGCACATGCATTCAGGTCCCCAAGTATAAACACACAAATATCTTCTTATCTCTTCCACTGTTTTCACCCTGTTTAAGAGTCTAGGAATCAGAGCCCCCTTCTCAAACCTCTCCCTTCTGTTGCCAACAGTCTGGTGCTGCTTCTATTTTTGACCCATGATCAACCAGTGTGAGGTGGTTGTAGAATGCGTGGCATGTCAAAGCACGAAGCTCAGAAGTGGCAGGCCCATACCTTCTGTCAGTCCCCCTGCACCCATTCTCCATTAACCACAGCCTACTGTCAAACTCATCCTATGGCTTGGCAATGGACTCTTAGATCTAACACCTTCTGTATAGATATTTTTCCACCACCATCTGTATGGGTCAGTCCTCAAAGCAAAATTCCTCAAAATAATGGTGCCGTTTTACCATGTTCATTCACACATGAGGGGTCTCACCACCTGTTGGGCCTGTAGAGAAATCAGCATGTGTGTTAAAGCCATTAGGCAGTGGGAAAATATGCTCCCATTTTATGGTTGGTGCTGGTTTCGAGTTTCACCACAAGTTTCTTAATGGATTTAGATTCTCAATGTGGTTAAAGGCCCAATCATACCATTAACCAGAAAGCTGTAAAACACCAACTCTGCATCAACAGCACTGTTATCAGTGCATACATCATTTTAAATGCTCTTTAAAGTCTAATGTTTTATGGTTCACCAGTTGGAAAAAGGCTTTCTGAAAGTGGTTTTAATTACATAATACTATTATGTGTCATATCATCACCAGTTGTGGTGTGGCCTTTGCAATTACAATAATTTTAAAGGGATAGTTCACCCAAAATAGTCAATTGTGTCATCATTTACTCACTTGAGTTGCTGTATTTCTGTGAGACACAAAAGAAGATATTCCGAAGAATCTTTAAGGCTTGTAGACACTGACATACAGAGTTTTGTTTACATCCATTTTCAACTATGCATGCCAGTGGCCAACAGTCAAAACATCTTCATTTGTGTTCAACATGAGGAGTAGGGCTGGGGGATTAATCCAAAAGTAATAGAAATTTTCATCGATATAATTTTACCAGGTCAATTTTTTCAATTCATTTCCCTACCACATGTGGAGTCACTGCTTTGTTAAGGCTAATTTATCCTTATTATATTATGTTTAACGTATTATATCATTCTGATATTATACTTCTGCCAAGCACATGCGTACAGTCCAGTGCAGCCTTCGTATAACCGCACACCTCTCAAAAAAGTTTAACTACTGGTTAGGTAGTGGTGAAAAGGGTGGGCAATGCAATGAACCGCATTTTGGGCAATGTGTGTTTTAATTTCAGCTGTTCAGCATTGATGTTCAATAAAAAATTATAAATAGATAGATTGTGTGTGCTCCCTTCAATTATTTTAAAATCAGGTAATGCTTCCTTCATTCAAAAATCTCTCACTTGTAATATGTGCGCATGTTTACTGTACAAAACATGTCAGTGAACTCTGAGGGCAAAAACATGATTAAAAAAAAAGTCCCTTTAAGGCAAGTCATTTCACTCGGTGGCCATCTTTGAAACGCCTCTTGGGCAGTATGCACGGGCATTCTGTTTGACTAGGGAAACATCAAATTCTACTTGCCAACTACTTACTACTTGCCAAGCTTACGATTACATTTCATATTACGAATAACTAGGCCCATACAAAATCTGCAAGTCAAAATGTTCAATTAAGTGAGATTTTGATTTTGGGCCAAATTGCCCAGCCCTAATAAAGAGAAACTTATAATGGTTTGGAACCACTTGAGGGTGAGTAAACGGTGAGTAAATTTTAATTTCTGGGTGAATTTCCTGCTTTTCCATGGTGTTAATAGAGCTAAAGTCTAAAACTTTATTGAAACCATAATTACTGTCTTATTAATAATAATGACACTTTTTGAAAAAAAAAAAAAGAGTTTAGTTTTTACACCCTCTTGAATAATTATCAGTGCAGTTATGCAATGTTTATCTAAATTTTTATCAGAGATTGTTCAAACTAAGACTTGATAAGGTTAAGGATTCTCTTGACCAACAATTTCAATTATCTTCATAGTTTTTCTTCATTTTTATTTTACAGTTATAATTTCATAGTTTTTTTTTCTTTTATCTAGGCCTCACATTAAGAGTTTAAGTTGCTAAAAGGAAATGAGTATTTACTGTTTTCTTTTTCTGAAATTAAGAAATCAATAGGCAGCATGACTAGTGTGAGTGTGACTATTACTCACTGCTTTGATGGGCTGTGACTACCAAAAGGGTCTGGTCGGGTGGAATGTTTTATTGCCATTCACTTTTCCAGTTTCTTTTCCAAACTACAGCGAGTGGGAGGGACCATAAAGGCAACGCCAATTTTATTTTTGCGTTTTTAATCATTTCATTGTGTTTCACAGAGTGGCAAATTTACTTCGGAAAGTATTAGAAATTAAGACACTATATTGTAAACAAAACAATTACCTTGATAGTTCAATAAACACGAGACTATCCTAAGACTGGAGTTTTGATCAACTGTGAGCAGTGATGAAGTGTAACGTTAGCTGGAGCTCCTCCGCCCCGTCCGTTATTTTCACTCCGAGGTCGAAAAGGCTCATGTAGTTAACACTTTAACTGCTAATATTTTTATCTTAGCGACTACTAACATAGTTACACGTCTTCTAAATAAAATTCCGCATTTACAACATTACGTTTACAACGGATTAGACAAACTAGAAGTTATAGGTTCATCTTTGTTTTCCGTGATCAAAATGAGCAGCGCGGTTTAAATTCCTCTGCTGAACATGAAGAGTAAACAATCTTCCTAATACATAAAACCAATGGCGGTTTCTCAGGCCCGTGGCCCGCAGTGAATGACCACTCACCCAGAAGATGAAATTGAAGAAGAAGAGCATGTATTTGATGCATTTCGTGCAGCCTTCCACGCCCACGCCCATGGTGTCGGTTTCTGAAGGATGTTTTTAAAGCCGGTTGATGAAGAAGTGTCTGGATGAAGCCGCTGTTACGCAGTGCTCACGCAGACTGAGCTCCAATCTCCGAGTGCGAGTCGCTGCTTGGATTCAGCCGACGTAAAAACGGGCAACACCCAGTTTCCTCCCCCTTTTACAGCCCCCCTAAACACGGCCGAACAACAGTAGAGACCAGTGACTACAAATGATGTATTAGTGACTAAAATACGCTTGATTCAAGACTCATTTCATGAACATTAAATAATAAATACTTATGCTAGATTTCAAGGTTCTTCTTGTTAAATTATTTCTGTAGACTATTGTTCGATCTTTCGCAGCATTTGCAATGCCTTGTCGGTCGCACCGCCTTTGAACCCGTACCGGGCTGTTAAAATCGATGGACTTTGTTGGAAGTAGGGCTGAAATGATGACAGGGGCATCAATTACACTTAGCATAATAGCCATGTTTACAGGAGACTTGCTTTGTTCGGTCGTCCAAAATGATTGTATGTCTCCACCTTGTGGTTGAAAGGAAACACGACCGAATATAAACTGTTAGAAAGAAAGAAGTAACTAATGACAAGTAACCCAGTGGTTCCCAAAGTTGGGGTCGGGACCCCCTGGGGAGTCGTGGGACAATGACAGGGGGTCACTTGGTAATTTCCAAAAGTAAAAAAAAATGTTGTTAAAAATTAACATATTTTATCCATAACTCATATAACATAAAAAAGTAGCCTAGTTAATGGTTATATAAAAAACCAACAACATGCAAATGAAAAGCCATCAGCCTTATGTTAGATTAACATACAGCAATAGGGGCAACGGCAGCAGATTGATTTTACAACACCAGGTTAAACTTTCTGACACCAATTAAATACATAAAAAATTAATGTAGGCCACAACTGAACATTGAGGATGATTTCTGAGTGGTGGTCTCCAAAATCAAACCAGGAATAAACTTAAAAACATTGTGCCTATCAGTCTTATTAGATGAGGTTAATATAAAATTAAACAAATTAATAAATGAATGTATAAATGATATCCTATGGTTGTGTTAGACTGTTGCACATTTTTGTGTTGTCAATATGCTCGTGTTTATATTGGCCCATTGTTGTGAGCGCAACATTTGTATATTTATAACCACCTCAGAGAAATGTGGTGGTCACGAGTCACTGGCATTGTTATTTTGGGGTTCGTGGGTTGAAAAGTTTGGGAACTCCTGCCATTGATAACACCTCTCTGTTATCCCCATCTACAAATGTACATAAAAGTCGTTTATGTACAGTGAAACATTATATATATATATATATATATATATAATATTATAACTGGGAATAAAATATTTTTATGGGTTAAAATATTATTTGTTAATATAAAATAATTATTTTCTATTAGGATATATTGACATTTTTCCTATATATCTGTATTTATTAATTTTATTACTGTACATATTTTGGACCTAAACATTTATTTTCATGTAATCAATTTACTTATTTGAATTTTATTAAGTAATTTGTTTTGTATTATTAAATTTTTAGAATTATTATTATCCATTTTAATTAAAATGTTTCTTTCATATGAATGTGCTTATTTTAATAAAATGCTTAAAAATTAAAATCTTATTTTACTTTATCAGTTATTAGTTATTATCACTATAATTATAGCTATCATTAATATAATATAATAGTAAAATGGTATAATTAATTTTGGTGTTCATTTAAAAATACATATTTTTATGCTTTTTGTTCCTAAACATTTAACGGGCATATATAACCCTTGCATTTAGTAATATAATTCCAAAAATAAATGTAATTGAATGTCTGATTTTTATGATTGCAGAAATTCACAACTATTAGCAATGTTCTTCACATAAGGTAACCTTTCTGGAGACTATTTACAAACAACAACAATATAGTAATAATAATAATGCTTTACAACAAAGTAATACATTTGATTATTAGCATTAAATTCAGGACAGTTCTGCCACTAGATGTCACCAATAAACTATAATATTAGTTCACATAAGCGACCAGTTGAATATCTAGAGCTTACTTTTTAATTACAGCAATACTTATATGTTTATTTCATTCTAATATATTGACACCCTAAAATAATTACTGAGCTCTTCTTATTATTATGTCACTTGATCCAAGACAGATTTTCAGATTCCATAATATTTTAATATGATAGTAGAAAGGTTATAGTATATTACATAAAATGTAATATATGAATTTTAATCACCATTACAGCAGTAGTAGTAGTAGGTGAAAAGAAGAGCTTGTTTTAATGCTGGCCATCAGTCATAATTCCTCTTATAAGGGTTAATGTGTTTCTGACAGCGGAGGTGAAGCTCATGGGAACGTGCATCACTGTGAGTGGACATTAGCTCTACTTTGAAGCCTAATTGCTTTTCCTCCTCAACAGAACAGGATAATTTGGGATAAATCCCATTATGGGTTTTTCGAGGAGGGGCACATACTGTAATCTGCCTTTAAATTGTCAGGAAAGATGATTAGAAAATAAACAGGTAACAGCAAACCATGAGCCGAATGTCATGTAGCACCAATAAACGGATTTCTTTAAAAGTTAGATCAAATGAAGATCTTAGTTTAAGACTGAATGTTGTTTCATGACTTTAAGGGACTATATTTTGTTGCCTTCTGAAGACTGCAGGGGCTTTTAGTTAATGGTTATCTGACAATTATTATTGGTATATCATTAATAAATGTTCATAAACATGCTATTACATTAGTTCTAAAACAAACTAAGAGTAAATATTTGCTCTCTAGAATGAATAAGTATTATTTTAATTATTTATATGTACATTTATATTGTATATATTTTAATATTTATATTACATTTATGCAGAAGCATTTTTATAAATTCAGTTTATGCAAAATACTTTAATTAAACACATTTTAGCCATTACCTTCAAAATCAACCCAAATTCAGGTATTGTCTTGAAGTGAGTTTATGTTGCATTCCTTGTTTTCAGTACTAAATTATTTTATTTATCTGTGAAAAAAACAAAAAACATGATGTTACTGTTTTCAGTAGAAGTTTCAGGTCTAAAAGATATTAGTTACTGTGCTTCCTTCAGAGGTACCAGTTATTAATAAACTAGAACCACGGTGGGCAAACTCGGTCCTGGAGGGCCAGTGTCCTGCATACTTTAGCTCCAACACTAATCAAACACAGCTGAACATGCTAATCAGTGTCTTTGAGATGACTTTAAATCTATAAGCAGGTGTGTTTGATTAGAGTTGGAGCTAAACTGTGCAGGACACCGGCCCTCCAGGACCGAGTTTGCCCACCCCTGAACTAAAATAATAGTCTCAGCGCCAATAGTCTATATGGGTAAGTAAGTGCACCAACATAAAGCACTGAGGTGTTTATGGTGACCCATGTTCAATTATCGGTTTGAGGTCATTTACTGATCCTTCCCCCTTTCTGCTCCCCTCACTTTCTTCTCCAATATTTAATCATTCATTTTCTTTCAGCTTAGTCCCTTTATTCATCAGGGGTCACCACACCGGAGCACCCAGAGGAAACCACGCCAACAACGGGAGAACATGCAAACTCCACACAGAAACGCCAACTGACCCAGCCAGGGTCCGAACCAGCAACCTTCTTGCTGTGAGGCGACAGCGCTACCCACTGAGCCACTGTGTCGCTTTCCTGTCAAAGATTATTTTAACTTAAAAACTAAAGTAACAGTTATGATATCGGTTATGTCAAATGCATGGTAGGCTAGATTTGGGGTATTCAACCTGGGGTCAGTTGAGCACCAGGGACCACTGAGGAATGCTGGGGTCCATGGAAAAAAGGCAGAATAGATTTTTAAATCTGAAAATTATAGAATAATGAACACAATAACATGATTAGAAATTGTACAAATAATAATAAATTAATACAATCTACAAGTGTGTTGATATAAACAGCTTACATTTAAATTAGGAAATGCAAATAAGATTGAAATAATTATAAACATTGATTAAATAACAAATTAAATACGTGTTAAAAATAAAACAATGATAATGAGTAAATATCATTTGAAATATTAATATAAATAAAAATAATATATAATTGAACTTAAATTTCCATGAGTCTTATACATTCAATTGCTTTTTACAATTTTAGATGGAGGTCCAAGTTTAATCTACTATTATTTTCCCCTAAATTAAAAAGATGCACCATTGCACCACAGCCTTGATTGAATTTCCCTTATCCTTACTTCATTCTCCGGACTTACATTTTAGCAAACGCGTTTTGATATTTTTTTTCTGGTTGTAAATTGTGCCTCATTAGGGGACCTGTCCTGCAGCAACGGAAAAATGACGCAGCATGTCAATATTGCATGTCGTTCTGAACAGAGCTTTTCCAGCGGGTAAAAGCATCTTAATATCTGATCTTGTGCACGCGTCCACTGAGCCACTCAGCAATTGCGCATGCGCGTCGGTGGGCTCCAGACGAGGCTCGTGCTGTCTCTCTGCAGAAATGACGAGCTTCGCTTCACTCTCATCGAGAGACACGCGCGGAAAAGGAGACTGAAAATAACCATATGGTGGAAATAAAGAGGACACGTTCAGTCACTTCCGAACAAACAGCGGAGGACCTCGCCAAAGCTGGACACCGAGAAAACAAAAGAAGGTGTTTAAAGGACCCCTCCTATTCCACTTCAAAGCTGGCGTCTCTTCTGTACGAGTGCAGCTACACATCCTGAGGGAAAAGATTCTCTAGATGTAATGTCTGTCAACACACGGCTTCTGATCGGCAGCATCCGGACGAGCATTGAAGAAAACGACTGATGTCAAATGGAAAAAATCGCTTAAAATGTGACGGCTGCGGTGTAGCCTCGATCTCCCCCAATTTGTCGGATTTGAGGAGGCGTCTACTGGGAATCGGGCGAGTGCATGTGTGTCGTTTTGGAGAGAGGAGGAAAAGCGCGCGCTGTGGAGCTGTCCGTTCAGAACCACACACACATTATCCTGCCACCAGCGGTGCACCACAAGCCATCAGCCTCGCACCTTCTCGGGACCTCATGGGGTGCGACGCAATTTTTTTGACAACCACTGCATGCGTTTGGATTGTTTAACGCTTTTGGTTTTGGAAGCAGTCCTTCACACACCTGCCAAGAACATCAAGCGCTCATGCACCCGTTTTCTGCTGCTGAGTTGCCTTTGCGCAATTGTTTTTTCTGCGTTTCTTCAGTTCGCCCTCATTTTTTCGTGGCTTAACATTTGCGCACATGTCTCCTCCGTGTCTCTCAGCGTTATAATGCCTGGCCCGGGCTCGAGACATGCCTAAGCGACGAGATGGGCCAGGGCGACGAGAAAGACCGTGTTGTGATTAACGTGGGAGGGATTCGACACCAGACCTACCGCAGCACCTTGCGCACTCTGCCCGGCACTCGTTTAGCCTGGCTCGCCGAGCCTGATGCCCACAGTCACTTTGATTATGACGCGCAGATCGACGAGTTTTTCTTTGACCGCCACCCGGGAGTTTTTGCACACATTCTCAATTATTACAGGACTGGAAAGTTGCACTGCCCCGCTGATGTCTGTGGCCCTCTTTACGAGGAAGAGCTGGCCTTTTGGGGCATCGATGAGACAGATGTGGAGCCCTGCTGCTGGATGACGTACCGGCAGCACCGGGAGGCCGAAGAGGCGCTGGACAGTTTCGGTGGAGGGCCAGTTGAAATGGGCAATGATGACATGGACACGGAAGCTTTGGGTGATCCAGGGGATGGAGACGAGGAGCTGGAGATGACCAAACGCCTGGCCGTCGGGGACTCACCTGACACTAAAGGTGCAGGCTTTTGGCAACGCTGGCAGCGTCGTGTTTGGGCGCTCTTTGAAGATCCCTATTCCTCCAAATATGCAAGGGTGAGTGATGAACACGTTTTGCAGTGGCAGCCCTGTGTTTAGACCTGCTATTTATTGTTTGTAATACATCCACGCACATGTTGCACTGAGTATGAATAGCCTAAACCGAAGCAATACACAAGAAAAATCCATCAAAATTCTTTAGCACGTTTTAAAACGAACAAATGCTGGCTGACTTTATTGCAGGGAAGATATATATTTTTATTATGGTGTGATGTAATGTTCTATCATTTCCATACAAAATTATAATTAATATTTGAAAATCTTCAGCCCTTCAAGTCATTGTGTACAACGGAGAATTGTGGAAAAGTCACCTGCATGGAGACTAAAGGACCAACTTCATATTGACATCAAATAACAATTAAATTAATATATAGATACGTGCATTTATGTTGCACTCTTGTTTTAATATGTAAATGTAAAAATATATAAATCTAAAATGCATGCATGTAGTTACCAGGCCTGTAGCTAGCCTGGTAAAAAGGGGTGGTTCTTTTTTTCTCAAAAAGTGGACCTTCTTGCAGTCATTCGCCTCATTTTCTATTTAATTATAAGTTTTAAATACTGCATCGTAATGGCATTTTCAGCACTATTTTTTGCTGGATTAGCTTGTTCATCATAACCACAAATGATGTACCAAAAACATTTTCTAAAGATTTAGAATAGAGAAATATGAAAACAATACTTATTTTTTAAATACAAATTTATTACATTATATATATCATTAGATAAAAATAGGAATCTGGTAAGTTTAAAATTAGAAACTGTAGCCTTTTGTCATTTATTAGGCAAATAACAAACTGGTTGGCAAATTCAACTTTCCTCAGTCTAAATTTGGGATGCTGAAAGTCACACCGAAGCAACAGCTGACACAGTATTCCACTTGGTTTTAAAGCCTTCTTCGATGGGATATTTTCATAGGTATTTTATGTAATTTATTATGGCATAGCGGTCAAAATAAGACAAATGAGCTAAGTATGGGACAAATTCTGGACATTTGTCAGTAAGGGGTGTGTCTTTCGAAACACATGAACACCCCCTGGTTGCGGGCATTTTACAGACGTAACTAATTTCTAGTTACACGTGTTATTACACTGTTAACTGCCAAAATAAAGACACTTTACCATTAAACCAGTCACTAACTGTATCCCTCCTCACTAGCAACAAACAAGCTTTTTTTAATCCACCAATAAAATGATAATATTTTACCAAGTCAAGTTTTTGAAGATACATTAACCAATGACACCTAAGTTAAAAAGGGACCACAACATAAAACAGTGAATGCTTTCTAAAACCCCTTTTACATGACCCAATGAAGATATGCTTCTTGACTTAAATGGACAAACCCAAAATGCTATGCATTGTGCTATTCATTGTGCTGAGAAGTATTATAAAATGTTTAACTTGATGGTTATACACTATACAATTCCAAAAATGTAAAACACTGTAAGATTGTTTTAAAGTATTTATCTTTTTTAAAAAGGTCCTTTTTACATCATTATTTAACCCATGATTGTGCTTTTTGATGTCACATTCCTAATCAACCTGCTATCAGACTGAAAGCTGATCTCAATGGTTAGTAGCTACTGAACAATAAGTTACTGGTTATCTATTTGATGGTGTGTCTGATTGAATACTATTCCTTGCATTGCCCTGCGTTTTTTGCAATAAATTGGGTTCCCCAGAGGGAAACATGTGCAGTCATTGCAGGCGTCTTGCATGTAGCATTGATCGACGGCTCCTCTGACTGCAGTACTGCTGTGCCACGCGCCGTGAGCTCCCTTCAGAGCCCCAGGCACGCTCGTGCACAAATTAATCACTCCGGGAAAACATTAAAGAGAATACATCATGAAGCAAAGGCTTTTCTTTATTTATGTGTCCATGATGCTTTGGGACAAGACGCACAAGACCAAAATGTCATTGTGATCAAGAGGGCTGAGTGACAGCAACAGAGATGTATTGTGCAGGACATTATTTTTGGTCCTGTCACACTTTTACAGTGGACATTAACCATACAGTAAATGCTGTATTCTGTAGAGCAGCAGTGCCAAAGGGTTTCGACTCCTTGGGAAAGCAAAAATGGATCAAATGTATGCCTGTTATGACTGCAGTTGCTTTGTGTAAAAGTGTCATCCTTATGTGGTCAGGAGAAATTTATTTGTTCTGTGTGCCAATTACAAGGCCAGTCTGGTTCGGCCAATTGTTAGATTGCCCTGTTTGTTTTATGCTTGTTTAATAGGAGTAAAATGGACCAGGACCACTGCCAAGATCAGGGTATTACACCCTAGGCTACTGAACGCTGACGAATGAGTCAAGGAATGTCAATGTACAGTTAGAAGTAGATTTATGTCAGGAATCAATAAATCAAATGAACTTATTCTGCTATTAGACAGCTTGAAACTGCTTAAAGCCAAGTAGGCTCAGGAATACCATTACTATCAAGGGAGAACATTTTTTTTGTTTTGAAGAAAATTTCTTTTCTGATAAAGTCTACCATGTGTGCTTTTGAATTATGGGTGGCACTTTTTCGGTTTAAAGAACTTCCATTTAAACTGAACGAAAGAGATAACAAAATAATACGCTTTTTGTTAGCAATCATTTGTTAGTGTGCTGTACGTTTTCCGTCACGCCTTGTTGTTGTACATTATTGGAAAATACTGACGCTTGGTGTTTTCATGTAAAATTGGTATCACAGAAATGTGTTCTGTTCCTCCTGATTATTTTCCATCTTTTTCGTATTTCAGTGTTGTTTAAAAGAGAGCAGATGTAGACATCAGTTGTGGTCTGCTCTTCTGTTTTTTTTTAATTAATTTTTTTCAATCACTCATCCATTTTCTACACAGGCTCATTCTGTAAATGTAGCCCTATATACATTTCTGGAGATCGTAAATTATGTAGCCAGAAGTACGCATGGCTGAATTTCATCTTTAAAATAAACGCTACGGGGGTCTATGAGACCGTGCCTTTTCGGACCGTTCCTTTTCGGTATGGTGAGGATTGTTACATATTTGCACCCAATATATTTGCCAACTTATTGTGTTTCATATATCAGCATGCTTTCTATACACATAGCAGGGAATTATTAGCTCAAGGAAGAACGTAGCAATTCAATATGCCTCCAAGGTGCCTCCAAGACCAAGGTGGATGCTACAGACAGCCTATAACAAGCGACACAGCACCACGGCGGATGCGCTCTACTTTTCTTTCTCTCGCTTACTCACAAACACACACACGCACGCACGCACACACACACACACACACACAGGATTTGCACACGGGTCTTACCTTTACGTGTAAATAAAGTCTTGAAATGGCTTTAAATACTTTGAAATGAACAAGTAATCTTCTATCCCATCCTGTCTGCAAGCTCCTGCATTGGTCGTCAATTATTTAATCACATTTCGATTAAATGTTAAATTTTGAGTATTTAGCTGAGATATTATATCAGCCATTTCTGCAGTCAGTCAGAGCAAAACATAAAATAATAGACTCTTATTGAACTTTCTATTGGCACTTGCTAGAGAAGTTTGAGATCTCAAAAAGTGTACACAGCAGCCTCTGGTGGATATGAGAAAACAAAAACTGCAAAATAACGTACCTCCTGGGACATATTTGGCGCTCTCCATAAATGTATATAGGTGTACGTAATCATAATGAGCCTGAGTTGTCTATTTCCCAGTTTTAACATGGCACTTTAATTGACCTTTTTTTTTTTTTTACTTCTAAAGCCTGAACACAGTGGGTGTTTACTGGAATATTCGTAAGCTTAGAAATACATTTATTGCTCAAAACAAGAGAAATCATTTTGAAATATTAGTCAGTGCTCCTGTTAAAAACAGAAAACCTGTGATTAACATACCATGTTTTTTTTTGTCATATTATAAAGTTATCACATTATTAATGTATCATAGATTTTTGTTACATTAAGCATGTCAACAATAATGCATAATAATCATTTATGCCTTTGAGGTAATTGATGCTCTGCTGACTTACTAGTTACTACACTTACTAGTTTGATTTTGAAGTTTGATGGTTGAACAGTGAGAAAAATAATGTCACATCATTGTACCCCGTTTTCCAAGTAAAATTATTACATTATTAGTGAACCCTTAATCAGGTTGATTTACTTTTGCTGACTGTTTACATAAAGTATCTACACTTTCTATAATTTACTCGAAACATAGTGGGCTGTAGCAAAACAAGGATTTTAACAGTTAAAATTAGGGATGTTTTTTTTTGCCCTCGAGTCAGAGTCTTTTTTTGTTTTGTTTTTTGTATCTGTCGATACCGAAACCCGATCTGATACTTCCATAATACATAAAAAAATACAGCAGACACACTCACGCTTTTCACTTGAAGCTGATTCCATGTTCAACTTTGCCGGTGATGTGCCGGGAAGCGCACCTCTAACATAAAATGCACCCCCTCTGAAATGTGCATCTATTAACTGAATTTAATTTAAAAAATTATTAAATAAATTAATAATACTACTAATAATAATAGATTTATGACACAATGAGAGTGACTAAGGTAAGTTTCATGAATGAAACTCTTCCCTTATAGAAGATAAATAAACAAACAAACAAATAAATAAATAAATAAATTGACTTTAAATACAATACAGAAGAGATTTAGTGAATTGTTAAATGTGTGGTTTAATTTAAAACAGCAACAACAATTTTGTGTGTTCCATGTAGACTAAATGTCTGTTTAAACCCCACCAAAACACCTCATTTAGACTCTACATACTTCTCTACTCATTCAGCCTCTACACCAGTGGTTCTCAAAGTGAGGGTCGGGACCCCCCGAGGGGTAGCCTGACAATGAAGGGGGGTCCCCTGGTGATTTCCAAAAATCAATTTATTTTTATTAAACCATAAGAATTACCATATTTTATCCATAACCGACTGAAGAGAAAAAATTGTTGTTTATAATTACTATATAGTTACTATAGTAGCTCATAGTTCTATTGAATTGCGAGCCCTGGGGTAATAGCATTA